ATAGGAGAGAAAGAATTGTATAAACTTGTTAAATCATCTAAACCAGTGTTACTCATCGCCAAGCTTTAATTTGTGGCTCGCATGGCAGTAAATAATACGGGCATATGATCATGCAGTCAATAAAGATATTTCATAAAAAATCATAAAAACATTAAAAACAAGCAGGGCTATAACATAAAAAACTCAGTGTCTGTTTTACAAATAATTTATATTTAAAAATGAAGATGGAAATATAAACTAGAAAATATATTTAAACTTGCTCTGCAGTGAGTCGGTGTCACGGACGTATAAGAGCAGAGTTGCCAGTTTTGGCGGTCTTTCCAGATATATAAAAAATGTAAGATTATTAAAAAACATTTTTTATAATATCACATGCATGTGAATATGGAATATACTTGGGCATGTACTAAATTAAAAAAATAATAATGTTAGCACTAAATTGGAGCAATTAAATTAGAGGACACTAACCTGGCAATTCATAGGCCTACTAACGCACATTATAACAACGCTAGGTTAGCTACGGTTTTTTCCAGCATTTCATGCTAGTCAGCTTGTGTTATATACGGACTGAAAATGGATCGATTTCTTATAAAACAAAGTCACGCACCAAGTGGACAGCAACAAAGAAATGTGACAGTGTCAAACGAGGCAACTACAGATCTGGAGCATGCAACAATCGCAAATGGACAGGAGGATGATGGAGACAGGGTTTGTGGAGAGCTAAAAAGAGAAAGGTAAGACCCCTACAAGATGAGCATAGAAATTTCAAGAAAAGTGGACAGAGGAATTTTTATTTGTGTTCCACGGATCAAACCCTTTGTGTTTACTAACACAAAGTAATTTGGAGCGGCATTTCCAAATGACGCACCCAAAATTCAACGTAAGTTATCCACCTGGAAGTGAAATAAGGAAAAGAAAAATAGAGCAGTTTTCTTCCTCTCTTTCTGGGCAACAAAGGCTCATACATAGGACAACTTCTACAGCTGAACGTTTAACTGAGGCATCTTTTGAGATCGCTTGGATTTTTGGCTTGCGGAAAAAAACCTTCTCAGACTCAGAAATTGTGAAAGATTGCTTTTTGGCTTCAGCAGAGTTTGATAACAAGGATGCAATTGTAAAGCAAATTAAAGGATTACAATGATCCGTTTCCACCATAGTGAGGCGGATTGAAAACATCGGCAAAGATGTGAGTGACCAGCTCTGTGCAGATGTGTCAGCAGCACCGATGAAAGCACCGATTTGACAGATGTTGCTCAGTTGTGTTTGGGTGAGGTTCCCTAAAGAAAAGTCTTTCCAAGAAGAAATGCTGTGCTTACTTCCACTTGTTGGCCAAACGATAGGGGAGGACATTCTGAATGCACTTCTGGCATTTTTTGATGAAAGAAATCTCAGTTGGTCAGGTCTAGCAAGTGAGTGCACGGATGGCGCCCCTAGCATGCGAGGAACGGAGAAGGGGCTTGTTGGGCTCATGAAAAAAAGGGAAGAAATACCAAACTGCATCATCCATCAGGAGTCACTGGTATCAAAACAGAGAAATAATACATTCCAAAACGTGATGCAAACAGTTGTTGGTGTGGTAAACTTCATCATCTCCAGAGCGCTGAACCACAGACAGCTCCGACAACTCATTGAGGACTATGACACAGAGTATGGTGATTTACTGATGCACAGTGAAGTGAGATGGTTGTCCCATGGAAAAGTACGGTTTCTGAGCCTCCTCCCTGAGATTTGCACTTTCCTGGACAACAAAGGAAAACGGGAGCCAGAGCTGGAAGACCCATGCTGGATCACACAGCTGGCTTTTCTTACTGACATCACCTGTCAACACTCTTAACTTGAAGCTTCAAGGAAGAGATAAGCTTCCAAGCAACATGCTGAATGCAATCAGAGCATTTCAGAACAAAATAACTGCCCTGTACATACCCGACAGAGAATTCATTCACTTCCCCAAACTCAGAGCTGTCACCACAAATGACCCATCTC